GTCTGGAGATACTGATGAGCTTCTTCTTTGCCTTCATGTGAGAAAGAAAGAGCGGCCTAAAAGTGCATAAAAGTGAACTTGATTAGAGCCATGACAACAAAAGACTAGTTGAATTGCCTCATTTTTGCAGGCGGTTCGGCACCCTTCCTATCCTTAAGTCTATTACTTAAGCACAAGCAGTTTTTACCTAACTTCTTTCCAGTATTCCTTACTTTCATTGCATTCCCTATTCCATTTATTTCGATGGCACACACATAAAGACACAGACACACCCACATGCTCCGAGGTTGACCAAATCACTTTACCTCATCAAAGAGATCATATATGGAGTATATACACATTGTTGGGGGGACTTTTATTTGTATGAATGTTATCTCAGAAGATTAATCGAAACCCAGTTTATCCTCGTATCTACAGTATTTACACAGTGTTTTTATAGATGAGCAGGTGATTCTTCTTGACTCAGCTTGAATTTGGTTGTAAGGGTGATACTCTGCTCTGATCATGTTCGTCATATGACTGACGAAAGCTTAGGGCGTTCTTACCGGAATCGAAGGCGATTACCTCGGAAACCGCCAACCGACAGCTGATCAAGATAAGCCCGCTGTCGTCTTCTGGTGGGATCGACCTTCGAATCTTTTCACCAAACACACACTCGAAATGGAATTAACCTTAACAATGAGATGCTTTAGCAATATTTTTCATGGGCTGATTTCATAACAAGCACTGTATCCCTCATATATTTCCGATGCCTATGCTAGCACCAACATATATATTTTCGTAATCTCTTTCTATTGTCAGGTTATTGCCCCTGTCCGCGAAACGGCTGCCCAGCTACTTGGTATTTTGAGTACCCACTTGGATATCGACCAGATTCACTTAGTCATCGAACAACTTCTCTTTCTTGTCTCTGGTTCGTCTGATCACACAAGCAATACAGGCCCTGTCTGCTCTGACCCCAATTTCAGCACTTCCCATGTGCATGCAAGTTCTACTGAGTCGGCGCTTTTATCTCCTCCAATACACGCGGATAAATCGCCTTTCTTATTGCCTACTTCCAAACGCCTGACTAAGACCAGTTGGATGTCCAAACACGCAGGGCTTTTGGGATTCAAGTACCTGCTTGCAGCTCGCCTCGTATGTCATGATCTGATTGAACCTCAACACACTTATTTTATGTGAAAGTAATTTTGCACATTTTTATTCGTTTCCAAGTGAATGCCGTATTTGCATACTCGTTTTATTTAGCAATCTCAAATGCGTGAATGACAAAATTCAGCACAAATAAACTTACGTATATTTCCTTGTTGTTTGACTAAATCAATCGATTACTGGACTCCTTATTAACTAATCATCTCTTCCCATGAACAAATAAATCAAAATTTTCAACGAAGCAATAAAGGACAAGAAGGTAACACACCTTTGCTTTCGTCTAAAACCTCAATTGAGAAGTACTTCTTAAATCATAGTGATCCGTTATTATACACAAATGACTATTTAGGGTCGCCGAAAGTGTCTTCAAAATATGGACTGCGTTTTACACTTCCTCTAACAATATTTTTCTTTTAGTTCTTGAAGAGACAGGTCTTTATTGCAGTCTTTAAATGATTAACCTGAACAAGGGATTTTTATTTTAGATTTAAGTATCATTTTAATGTCTGACCGCAATCTCCCTCCTTTGCATTGGTTTAACTTCTTATATCAACTTACTAATATTAACTGTAGGATTGATAATTCCTTCCTGTATCGGTTCATTAACCGGATAAATAAGTTTGTATTGTTACTGAGAGGAGTTATTGACGACATTTTTAAAAAGAAAATAAAGTTTATTTCAATGATACTTCTCACAGGATGCTTAAAGTACTTCCATTTTTATAGTTTTCCTTACTTTGAATCCTTATACTCTATCCTGCAATACATTCTTGCCCACTACCATCATCCAAAATCTCTACATGCATGTGAAAGCGCCTGTCTGAAATGTCTCTCATGAGTATAAGATTCGTTCCCTGAGGCCCCTAGTATTAAATTGTAAAAATGAAGCCAAGTCGCTCCCTTTTTCTTTTTGACGCTGTATGGCAGCAATTTTTCAAACTTTTTATCTTTGGTATTTTTCTTCCGTCTTCCTTCCCACTTCATTCTTCAGTTTTAAGCATATTGACCCTTTTTAAATTTGTCTATTTAACTATTTGCCTTCAAAAAATATTTTTCATCCGATATTCATTACTCTATGCAAGACATTTTTTATTACTATATCACTTTTGACTCAAGTATTATTTCTTTTCCATATGATTACCACTGCAAAATATTCTTAAAGCTCCTCTTTCCATAATTTCTCATCAAGCCGCTATAAATAATTTTTTTACATGCGTTTTTTAATTCTCTTTAACTTGAATAGAAAGCAAATATTTCTACTGCACAAAACTAGTGGCGGCAATACCCATAATCATTTTTTTTGGTTATCAGTCCATGCGCATATCTTTGCAAGCTGCATTATTGTTCCTTCAAGTTTATCGGACCTTTTTATCTGGGTCAAATTGGATAGAAGCGCACGGTATTAGCTCAGAAATCATGATTTTACTTGCTCGATCAAAAAGCGCGCTAAATGATAACTTTTTTGATTAACTTTTTATAGCAATGGTAGAAGTGGGTTGACCTCGTTGTCGCAACTTGGTCTTGTTTTCAGGGA